GCTGCAATTTACAAATTATTTATCTAATATATCATATTTCAATCACTTGTATATAGAAACCAATGTGTTTCCCATCCCCTAAACCTCCAGGGGTGTACAAAGTTTAATACTGTCAACTTCTAATTATGGGAAATACGAAAACGTCTTTTAAAACTGCAATTCCCAGTAGAGACGCGCCATAGAACATGCTGCGAAACACACATATAGCCAGCATTAGTAGTAAAATAATTGCAAAATATTTTTACAATATATTATTACAAAATAATAAATTCAACGCTCGTTGAAACGGCAACTTTCTGGCATAATGTCATCTATTACTGTCTATCATCAGAATGCCCAGGACACACATCAAAACAAACTGGCAGGTCACGAGCATAGGAAGGCTGGAGTGGAGCTGTCTTTTTATGAATAGTAATTAAGTTTGCTCCGACTTCTTTCTCTTTTTATCGAAAAAAGCGAACTATTCAGTCAGACAGCCATTTATAACAAAAGTAAAGCAAGTACAATTTCAAGCAGTTTATCCAAAATCCAAGCATTTTAACCGAAATTCAAGCACTTTTCAAACCTTGAAAATGCCACATTACATTTCAAGCATTTTCAAGGATTTCCAGCACCCGTACGAACCCTGAATGTTAATTGTGTACTTTTACTCTGCTACATTTATTTAATATCTTTAGTTACCTTGCAGATTTGGAAAGTGATTACAATTATTTAATTATTATTGTATTGCTGATCTACACGAATCACACAACTAACCTATTTTGAATTCAAGATGGCACATTTTGCCAAAAGGTGAAAAGTTTGCATCCATGATCAGGAGGGCAGAAAGTCTACATACTTCTGTTGCAGACTGAAAAGCAGCATGTTTTGACTGCACCTTGCCCAATACAAATGTATTATTAAAGCACTAAAAAATTTACTTGCAGGATTGTTTTTGTTTGAACATGTCTCCTCATGGTTGATTGCACTTATTGTAAGTCACTTAGATGAAAGCGTCAGCTAAATGTGATGTAACACACACATGTCATTGGAATACCGCAAAAATATGAGGCTCAAAGTGAGCATGGCAGGCTATGTCTTTTAACATGCCTTCAATTTATAATGCTCCTAACACTAGGATGGGTCAAATGCATAATGTCAATTTCCCCTCTGTGGGACGATTAAGGGTATATAAAATAAAAAATAAAAATAAGTGTTTTAAGTCATGGATTGGCAAAACTACTCCACAGTAATGGAGAGGCCTCTGATGTCTGTAATGCGAGGTTTGTGGTGTAGTGTTACCGTCATTGTCTCCACTTGCAGCAGCGGTGGTCTCGGTGGAGTCGCAGCTCTCCTGCCCAGTGGCCTCATTGGGGCCGACTGTGGCCGCTGCACCTGCTGCAGAGGTGCTGGAAGCTGGGGCCGTGCTGCTGGCTGGATCAGCTGGATCCGACTCTGATGTTGTCTTTGTCCACTGGAGGGCGTTCTTCTACAGAGTGTGAAGAAAAACTGCATTTTCTCAGAAGATTGTATCCTTCAAGTCGTTTGTGAGGTCATGCATCATGTGGGACACTCATCCCAAAACAGAAATAGATGACCTAACTGGTCCAACTGTGTTTATCTGTATCATTTTGAATAGTATCATCAGGGTGGGGAGGGTTACTTTAAAAAGGTCCCATGTCATGGCCATTTCCACTGATCATAATTCCATTGTTGAGGTCTACTAGAATAGATTCATATTGTGCAATTTTCCAAACTCACATTGGTTTCTCATACAGCATCTCTGTAAACTACGTGTATTCACTGAATTTCACTCTCTGCCTTTAACGGCTCGTTGTAGCTCCAATAGCTCCAGCCCCCACCCTCCCTTTGAGCACAGTGTGCTCCGATTGGTCGGGACGTTGTGAATCGCGCTGAGCTCCGTGGAGGTGTGGTTTCCTTGTTTAGCGATACACATCGAAAAACACAGCCAAACTCATCCTGAGCACACGCAAACTCACAGCCGAATTAAAAACAATAAGTGTGGCTTGATATTGAGTAAAAAAAAGGTTGATAAACGCAGTGAGAATGGGTCTGCAGAGAGAATTTCGCCGCGATCCCAACTGTCTGTTATCAGCCTGCAGCCAGGGAAGAGAAATCAGCAGAGCTGCCTGAACTGAGTGCGTGTGTGTGAGTGTGTGTGTGTGAGTGTGTGTGTGAGGAAGTCCGTGGATTGGTCTCTTTGGACCAATCAGCGGGGGCTTAACGTAACGGCTCCGCGGACGTAACGTAACGGCTCCACGGATTGGTCCATTTGGTTCCGGGTAACGCATGACCGTATCGCGTCATAGCTCTGGGCGCGGCTACTGGCCATTCCTGCGACACAGTACCCAGGAAGTAAACAATGGACAATGACGTATCTTCAACGAGGCGTTTTGGGGAGGTATTTTCTGTGTTAGAGTTTTACTCGCTACAGGGTGTACTTTCAGGGTTTTGACTCTGCACACCGTTTACATGCATAAAAACCTTCATAACACACAAGTGGACGGGTAATAACCGGAAAAGCATGACATGGGACCTTTAACAATGTATAAATGACTAGTAACCTGTAAATAAAAATGAAATGAGTCTGAGTATCACAATATGAATGTAATGTAACCGGATTCATTTCCGTTACTTATGGATGACCTCAACATCAATTTTAATATATGAATTAAAATAAAACTGTATTTTTGTTTGAATTAATCAGGTGTCTAACTACTGCATTAAAATAAAGAATGAAAGAGCGAAAAGAAAAAGCAAAAAGCAAATCCAGGCAGTAAGTCTACCTTCAATATGTCCATCTTTATGAATACATTCTAATCCTACGGTATTATTTATTACATTTATTTTCAGATGTCATTTTGAAGATACCAATAACAATAGTACTGTGTATTTACATGAAGAAATGCAGGCAGCAGTAGAGAAGCATTCAACGTGAAGAGGATGGTGTATGTATTGTGTACCTTTAGGGTGAACAGGCTCATCCGTCCCGGCAGCTTGAAGAAGATGCTGTTCTTCACTCGGTCTCCCCTCACCTGGGAGTGCAGCATAGTGACCAGACAGGCCAAAGGTGCTGTACCACTACACACGAACACACACATTCAGATAAGAAAACCTGCAATGCTTGTCATAAAGCTTTCCATAATAGCCATGTCCTTCATGAACAAAGTTTTAGAAAGCTGAGTTTGGACGATATGATGCGCGGATACGACAAAACAAATAAGGGATGCCCCCATTGCACATTTCTCAGCCAACGCCAATGTCCAGATTAACAATTTGACCGATGCCAACACCATTGATGATGTTTTTCTGTCTATATTGTTGTTATTTATTCTTCGTTTGAGCCACGGAAATATACATTTTTATTATAAAAAAAACGTTGAATAAGCACATTTTCAATTAAACAAATGTATGAAACTACGTTTAACAGAATATTCCTTCAAAAGACGGGTTTTTGTTCACAAATACAATACATTTGATACACGCCTCTTTAGTCTGCTACACAATCACCAAGTCATTGAGAAGGCATAAGACATATTTAATAACATTAAATCGTAATTTATGAATTTGAATAAATATACAGAACACACTTATAGATTGTGCTTATAAGGGCACGGAGAATAAACATGAACAGAGACTGAGGTTAGCGTGACTAAACTGACGACTTCTCTGGCCGTTTCAATTTCCCAATGCCAATTTCTGACCGATGCAAACCCACTGTGCCAAGCATAGACCTCAGAGAACATGAAAGGGTATGAAAAACAGACAACGAGTGTAAGTAATAAAGGTCCTCCAACATACCTCCTGTCAACAGTAGGCCAAGTGATCCATAGATAGATTGATTGATAGATCCATGTCAAAGGAAATAAAAACATCTGTTATAACCACACTGATTGAAATGACATGTTTAATTGTTGTTCAATTGAATTATCCACATTGGAATGAATGCTGGGCATTTTTAGACTACAATTGAAAAAGGTAGGGATGCACCGAATATTCGGCCGCCGAAAATTATCGGCCGAAAATGGTTAAAAAGGCTCTTTCGGCTTTCGGCCGAAAGGGTTTTAGCACCGAAAAAATATCACCGAATGTCAGGGAACAGGGTTACGTTGGTAAGCTAACGTGTTGTTGTGATGACGTAATCAAAACGCGGCGACAAGCACGGTGCGCGACCATGTTCGCGGCTGGCTCACAGCCAACATGTCTGCCGCTTGGAGATATTTAAAAATATCAGAGAAAGAGGCGCGGATTGCGATTTGTAAAACGTGTTCAGCTGACATTTCTCGAAGGGGTGTAACTGCAAAGACTTTCACCACTTCGGGATTACTCCACCACTTGAAATCAAAACACCCGGACAAATATGCGGAGTAAGATTAAATCACAAGCACTGACAGCGAGAGACTGTTCAGCGCTGCCTCTCATGTGCTAATGAGAAGAGGAACAGACTTATGGCTGATAAAGCAGAGAAGCTAATGTTCATTAAAAAGAACCTCCCACTTTTCCTTAATAAGTAGACGAGGCTGGCTTATCATAAGCTTATCTAGTTCTACATGTCTACTCTATACCCACTTTCCTGAACAATTTTCATTGTGAGTTATAATTCACCATCTCAGGTTATCATTAGGGGGAAATGACAGAAGCAGTGTTCAATATTGTACTTTCGGTATCTAAATGATACAATGTTGTTTACATTGCTCATGAGGACAGACCACCTTATTTGCAGATTCTTGAAATTGTAATTTAATTTGTAATTG